ATTATTTATACATTTAAACTCTTTAAAATGAATTAGCTGTTGAATTTAATGCTTATTAGTTTATGATATATTGTAAACTGAAATGAAAGCTACATTTGCATATGAGTTGATTATTTGGCTCCACTAAGGTATTTGTAAATGCCCAACGAATACATTCCGTATCAAACCATTAACCAGGAGAACATTTTAGCCCAGACATTTAGTCACTTATGCTTCCCTTTCCTAAATGCATGATAAATTTGTATTACCAGAGTTGTTCTTTAAAAAAATTACATTGGTGCACTTTTTTAAAAAGGGCAAAATCATAAATGGGAATAAAACTTTCTAAGAAAGAGAAGAAACTTTAAGATGTTTATAAACTTAAAAAAATACCATAATGGAGATAGATTCACTCTGATAACATTGGTAGGAATGATCTACTTCTACAGTTACAAGAAAAAAATAGTTTCTTAGAGAAAAGGCAAGGGCCAGTTAAGAAAAGAAGGCTTTATTCAAGTGTCAGCTATACTTCAGGATTGGGTGGCCATATTGGAAAAGAGAATGGCCCACAGGATTGAAATGCAAGGAATCAGTGTAGTTCATAAGCTCCACTGGCATCCAATAAATGCCACTGCTTCAGGCCTAGGGGTCTTTAGATTCGGTCAGAGTGAAAAATTGGGATTAAGACTGTGGACATTTGCTTATAACCAGTGGCAATAAGTTTACCTCAATACCTCAGTTTCCTGCCCCTTTATTTGAATCCAGTGAAACTGATCTAAAAATATGATGATATGTTACATATAAAGTAAGCATATAAAAATCCTATGTATGAGATGACTGCATTCAGGTGCCACGTTCCCTTCTATGTCCTTCCATGTGTTCTCTTCTTTTTCTAGCAATACAGCCTGTCCTTTGATCATGTGATAACAGTCTGATTCGTCAGGGCTTGGACCCCTTTGCTCACGTTGTAGTGATTGATATCAAGCGTATCACCCAGGTTTTAATTGGCAATAGTAGAGGTGGCAATACCATAATAATGTCCAATTTGCAAAATCAAAACTGGTAAATTCTGACCCATCAAGCTCCTTAAAGTAAAAAAAGAAACAAATACAAAGCAAAGAAGAACTTAGCTCCTCCCTATGAGTCCTTGTTCTGTCTAAAACACTGTGCTCTCACTCTATCTACTGTATCAACAAGTATTACTTTAAGTAGCTTTGAAATTTCCAAAACTAGCTAGTTCTATTTGGCAAACATTTTTTCACAATCTTCATATACATGACACTGTTTAAAACAGAAAGTTGAAAATGAAACAGTTCCCAAGAAAGTGGATGAGATGTATCAGACACTCAGATACCTATAACGGCAAAGACAAATTTTTAGATAACTTCAAAATGATATACTTAAGATCATTTTAGTTTAAGGAAGCCATAGATTACTTAGAACACGAACAAGTAAAATCCTTGAGAGATTGTTAATGTCTGTACGTGAAGAGTTGAGCATAAGTCAGTCCAGAAAGCAGAAACGTGTGCATGGATGCTGTGACAGAGACTACTAGTTGCCTAAGAAATATCCATTCTCCTCTTCTTTCTTAAAAATGGAGCTCCAATTTTATTCCAAGCAGCCAAACGGCAAAATTAAGGGCTATATTTCACAGCCTCCGTTGTAACTAGGGTGAGTCTTATAATAACGTTATTTAATTCTGCTCTGACTCAGCTGAAAGGATATTATTTTTAGGATCTCTAATTCTTTTCTGCCAGTATGTGGACAACTATCTTATCAAGCAACCTTGAGTTTGAAGTCACGTGCTGTTGAACGCAGTGAACAATTAAAAGGAGACGGTTTTTCATGAGCACCGACCTACCACACTGACTGGGGATTCTTCTCTCTGATTTTCACACGCATGTGAGAGAGAAAAGCAGACTTCTGCTTGATTTAACTACTCATTTTATTATTTTTTTTTCTTTTATACAGCCAAGTCAAGCCTAACTGATTCAATTTCTATTTGGACATGTAGACTGGGAAATCATTTCATCAAGAAAAAATGCACAGTCCAGCAATAGCATACAGAGTGCAACGTATAGGAAAAAGAATGGACAGGAGTTTCTCATGGGTAGCTACTGGCCCTGTGTTATTAAAATCAGTACAACTCTTTAAAAAGACGTTTTATGCATTCAGGTGGAACATAGATGCTCTAGTCGCCTTTGCATACTTCTAACAATTATTTTTCTCACCTAATCTTTGAAGGCATTTTAGTGTCAGACATTTGAGAGCATAATAAGTAGTCAATTAAATTTGAATAAAATCTGCATAAGGACAAAATCACCTCAAAATAGATACAATAGAATAAGAGTGGAAAATGGAATCTATAACGTTAGATTATTTCCACCCCATCACACAAAGACATGCAGACACCCAATTGCAATAGAGAGGCAAAGATAACCAGGGCCAGTGGTGAGACTGAGAGGGCATCTTCCTCGTGTTTGGAGTGAGGGTGATGACCAGATTCAACAGCACCCACTAAGAGATAAAATGAAAGAATTGCAAGCTGTGGTCAGAGACCAAAATTCTTCAAGTTTAAGATTTTGGAAGTGATGGGAATGAATAACGCACATGCATATTAAAGTTTGAGAGACATTCGTGAACAGAAGTGGTTTAGTTGGCTCAGGGAAGTCTAGTTTCTAATACTGAGAGGCCACTCTGAGCCACGACGACACTTTCCAAAGGAATTCTTAACTAGATGTTGACAGACTGACTGGGCAGACTGCCATTTGAGAACAAAGACATGTTGTATTAAAGTCATAACATATGCAGAGGGATAAGTTTATTAATGTTTTCCCCACCCCTAAGATCTAAAGAAGATCTAAAGGAGAGGTAGAGGAGAGATGACCCCACAAAGAACACAGTTGTGTCAATGGAAAGTTCATTTCAGGTTCTGTAAGACATTGGCAAAGTAAATTCTTATGGCCTATGAATAAATTTACCTTTTTAATTCTGAACAGCAAAATATTTGCTTTCTATTATTCATCATCTTATTACTCTCAGTAGTATAGATGATAAAATGAAAGTCCATACTGGGACATTCCCCAAAGACACTTTTCAAAGTGATTGCCCAAACTAGCTCAAAAATACAAAATTGGTCAAGAATTGTATTTCATTCTTAACATCAAAACCTATATCTCACTCAAATGTAATTTACCGAAGCCCCTTTCCATGTATACATTCATACATTCTCTTATTATGCTAAGCTCATCATATTAGATGAATTTCAAGTGAAATCAATGCTTGCTCTTTGTTAAACGTATTGGAACAAAGAAATGACTTTCTAATTTTCAAGAATACTTAGTATATTTTATTTATGAAGATTTTAAGATGCATTTACCAATTGTAATATTTAATTCAGAAGATACAGAGTGTATTGCATAATTTTATCTATATTACATTGAAAAATAAACTTTACCTTCATTTTTCATCAAATATTCAATTTGTATTTTTCTACATATCTAGGCTGTTACTTTCTAACACTATTTATATCTTTTTAATTAAATAGACTATTTCAGGTACATTTTAAACGCTTTTTCCATTTTAAAATATGCATATATCATTAAGATACTGTGTTCAAATATGAAATTACACCTAAATGAAAACTTTCTATTTTAGTTGCTTTTATTCTTGGAGACTTAAACTTACTGACGATTTAGTGGAGATACAGGCATACCTCATTTTATTGGACTTTGCTTTTCTGTGCTCCACAGACATTGTGTATTTTAAAAAAATTTTCTTTCTTTCTTTTTTTTGCGGAAGATTAGCCCTGAGGTAGCATGTGCCACCAATCCTCCTCTTTTTGCTGAGGAAGATTGGCCCTGAGCTAACATCCGTGCCCGTCTTCCTCTATTTTATATGTGGGACACCTGCCACAGCATGGCTTGACAAGTGGTGCCTAGGTCTGCACCTGAGATCTGAACTGGAACATGCGAACTTAACTGCTGCACCACCAGGCTGGCCCCGAGACATTGCCTTTTTTATAAGACCCACCACTAGCAAAAAGATTATGACTTGCTGAAGGCTCAGATGATGGTTAGAAATTTTTAACAATAGAGTATTATTAATTAAGGTATGTACATTGTTTCTTTAGAAGTAATGCTTTTGCCCACTTAATAGCCTGTAGTATAGTGTAAACACAACTTTTATATGAACCGAAAAACTGAAAAATTCATGTGACTTGCTTTTTTCAGTGGTCAGGAACCAAACCCACAACCTCTCCAAACTATGTCTCTAATAGATGTTGAGGGAAATAAAAATATGCATTAATGTAAAGTATATTATAATATTAAATTAGTAAAACGATGTTTCTACAAAATACGATTTTTAAAAAAACTAATAAATATTTACATATAAATTTCCCTCAAGTAAATTAATGCTCAAATTCATTTACTACCACAATTAGCTCTAATGTTAATGTTAATAATTACTTCTGAATCCAAATAAACGGTAGGTGTTAAAAAATATTGGTGAAAATGTTACTTTAAATGTGATTGGGACTTTGGAGAGTTACGTAAAGAGAAATAGGCTATTTTTCCTGGTCACACATCGCAATTTTTTCAAATACCATCATACACATTTTCTGGATGTTGTTTATGTACTTTTAAATTAACAAAAATGGAGAAGATGGAAGAGAAACAAATAGTAGGTAGAAAATGGTAGAATTCTGTAAATGTAAATTACATAAAATATTTGGCCTCTTGAGAATTGTTCTGGGTCTGATTATTATCGTCAAATCTTCTCATGATGCATTTCCACGCGAGGAAACAGTTTTTCTTCAGATTTTTGTAGAAAGGGAGGTCTCAAGATTGCAGTGTTTTCACATTGGCTCTCTAGGCTTCCTTCTCAGGAATGTGTCTGTAATAGGATCTCCTAACCTGGGAATAGATCTATTCAAGAGATCTATTTAAGGTTCCCTTAAACTACCATCGATTTATGCTAAAATTTTCAAATCCTTGTTACCTGTTTCTTCTCATTAACAGCAACAGAACTGAAGAATAGCAATTTCCCCGAGAGAGAGAGAGTGAAAGAAAAAGTAAGTAAAGGAAACAAGAATGAAAAGTAGTTTATCATACATCGAGTAGAAAATCACCCTTATAACTCTATAATTGAAGACAATATAATATTTGTGCAACAGGGAAAAAGAAGATAGAATAGACTCAAGAACATACGAAAACCCCATTTATGAGAGAGAAGATAGTGACCAACATTAGGGAAATGGTGAACACCCCTGGGGAAAAGGATGATGTGTACATCATAGATACTGCTAGTGTTGTCTGTAGATGTCCTGATTTCTAGACATCCTGTGTAGACGTGACATTGAGTGTGAGCCAATGGAGCTGGAAGCTCTCTTCTATAGTAGAAGGTCCCCACCAGCCTCTCCCCATAATGCTTTCTTTTTCCATGGGTGACTGAGAGTGGCCTCCTATCAGAGTGCTTGAATGCTAGGCAATTGGAGCTTGGTTATACCTCGTTTTGCAAAATAGCTTGGTAGAGTCAATTGCTGGAAAAGAACTGTGTCTGTGGAGAGTTGCAGCCCCCTCTGCTGGCGATGGGAACCTCCAGTCTGGTGCTAGGATGACTGCAGACTCTCCTTCTGGGCTGAAGGCAGGGCCCTCAACCAACCAGTTCATTGCTGGGGAATCCAAGATATGTAACCGTAGACCTGTTTTCTGGATATTGTCATATTCAGAAAGAAAGAATGGGAAGGGCAAAAATTGGAAGAAGAAATTTAAATGCATGTAAGTATTAATATCTGGGATACATAAAAATTAAAGATTAATAATCCAGTAGAAATGGATAAAAAGATTTTTTTAAATGAGCTAGATCTTATTAGCAATTAGTGCAAAATTAAAACCATTGGGTCAACAAAGATTAAAAGTCTAATAACCACATGTATTGGTTAGCATGGGAAACAAACTGTGATAAACTGCTAATGTGCTTAAATCTATACAACTACCTTGGGAAATAATTTTTTGTTATCTCATAAAACTGAAGATATACATATCTTATGACTTAAAAATTTTGTACTTAGTACCAGGGAACACATATGAGGATGTTTTCAGAAGTTTTGTTTGTCTTAGCCAAGAAACTAGAAATAATACGTGTCCATCAAAAGTAAAATGGATAAATATTCACACAGTGTTCTATGTTAATGCAAAGGAATGAACTCAGCGATGTATACTGGCATGGATGAAACTCAGGAACTCGATATTGAGAAAAAGAAGGCATAGAAGATAATTTACGCTAAAATACATGAAAAACATGCAAAACTAAGAAACTTACAGTCTAGGGATAAAAATTTGTGGAAAACTATAAGAAAATTCATAGAATAACCATAAAAATTATGGAAATGGTTGTCTCTGGAGTACAGAAGGATAGGGCAATGTGGTCAGAGAAATAACACAGGGGGCCTCAGTTTTTTAAAGAATATAGTCCACAGTTTAGCAAAAAGGAACTAATGAATATGATGTTTATGAATAATACAATATGCTGATGTTTTCAATAGGATTTTGTTACATTTGATCTAATTGGGAGCAGACTTTCAGAAATATTTGTGGATGTATAAAAAACCAAATTCCATTCTGTTATTAGGCTAAAATATTATATAATTGTTTTAAATATGACAATAAAAATGTACCAAATTCTACTGTATCAGAATTTAAAAAACATAGCTACATGATATGCTTACTTTTTTAAAGAGTTGACCACCACCCTGCGCTTTAGAAAGATGAAAGACAGCTAATTTAGAAATTTTGTGTACTTTACAGGAATTGTCAAATAAATCAATTTAAGCCTCTTTTATATACACTTTTCTGGTTGAGTCATTTTTAGACAGACTACAAATGAAAAAATATTATGAAGATGCCTATGAAATCTGCCACCTGGTGGAAGTCACCTGGAACTACAAGAACAAATTATTGCTAGTTTTTTCTCTTCCCTTCTGGATATATTCCTATATCTCCCCAAAAGACAAAAGTGGAGGATGGAAGGAGAGGGCGTTTGTTTGCTTGTTTGTAAGCCTCAAACACACTTATGAATTATTTTGAACAAATTATACAATCTCCTAAGTGAATAATGTAGTGCAACTTCTTAAACAAAAAATGATAATCAATAAAGTGTTATGAAAATATTGTAATGCAGTGAAGTGCACTTTATGAGAAAAATATTTGCATTATGTGATAATAGATGCTAAATATACATCTGCTCAGCTTCTATTATTATCATTAATAGACTATAATTGTCTTAAGTATAAAGCAAATGTAACGACCAATCACGTTTGGAGCACATTTTAGTTTTCGTTCAGTTCTCAAACACTGAAAAAGAAAGAAGCATTTCTTAATAGAATATTGTATATCTAATACTGTCCCATTTCTCTTGACATTTAAGTCTTAGCCTCATGTTTTGAGTCAGTTTTATTTTCACTGTTAAAAGAACTTCTAGACTGCTGATTTAGCTGTATTTCTCAAGTTTTCATAATACTGAATTTCATTTACACTCTTTAGGTTATTTATATTCTGCTTCTCTTATTTAGTTCAAAAATGGGGAAAAGGTCGTGTAATGAATTTCTTAAGCTAAAAATATTTATTCTTTGTATAGTGCTATATAGGTAGCAAAAGTTCCATCTATTACATTTAGTGTTATTACTTACATGGAGGAAATAAGTGAAATAACAATGGTTGAACGCCTATAGCAATAATCCAAACCTTTTTGCAAGATTAGCTATATAAACTCATATATAAAATAAAGAGAAATTTTCTATGGGTTTTTTAAATTCAAAGTAAAATTTCCCTGCTTGTAAAATGCCTTGATTTTGGTGTCTGACATAGATATCTTGGTTCTAGACAGACTCACTAATCTAAGGTAATGTTATACTTACTTAAAGATCCATAGTCTTCCTAAATTGAGAGAACTGACATGTGTAACCTAGAGTGGAGAAAAAGAAGAAATAACATTTTATAGCAAATGCACATGGGAAAAGGAGATATGGAATTACATTCCAGAATACCTGGGAAGTCTAATCTCTTTCTCAACTCACTCCTCTTGGTCTGGACTGCTGAGCAACTGGGTGGAGGAAATGCTCCCAGGATCTTTGATTAGTTTATAAAGGAAGAAACGTTTAAAGACATCAGCAATCAGTATCCAGAGGAGTAAAAATAATAACACCTAATACATAATAATGGAAAATTACAAGTTAGGATGAAAATGACAATGATGTGGATCGATTATAAATTTAGTTAGGAGAGATAGGGATTTCGTTTTAATGTAAAAATCAGAATAAGAGATCAGGGACTTATACTTTCAAATCATCAGTTGATGGATTTGTCAAACAGTGAGGTGAAGATGGCTGCAAAAAAAATTTATACATAGACAAGAAATAAGAAACAAAACTGGAATGTTTCCTTTGAATATGAGTAGACATCTTTATGCCTGTAACTGTCAAGAAAGAGCAAACCATGGTACAAAAGACAGAGAGAAAAGTTAGAGAACTGTCTATTAGAAATAATATCTTTAAGCAAAGAAGAAATTTTTGAGCAAAAACCTAAGTATAGAAGACGAGAAAACAAAGCGACTTGAAGTTTCCCAGCCAGTATTTATGTCGTGGTGATGCCATTAACCTATTCAAACTTGTACAAAAAAAGAGGGAAATTATGGGCTATCTGAGTCTAGACAATCAGAACTGTATGCTGTTGCAGCTGTGTGCTATACTCCTGCTGACTGTCCACCAACACACCCTCGCTAGATCCATTCTTGCTGACATATTAATTTGTTGCTACAGATTTAGGAATTTCTCATTGATGCACACTTACTGAGATTACCACCTACAGTAAGCTGGTTTATTTGGTTAAATTGTCCTCTTTCTATGAGTCTCTGATTTGAAAATCAAAACCAGCATTTTTCTTCTCTTTTTATGACATCATTCTTAACATAGTTCTTAATACCCTTCCCTTTTATACTTTAATAATTTGACTAAATACAGACCTGTACTAACTTGTAAATCCGTCTTTATCTAAAAAATATATTGAACTAAATTATGTTTTATCATTATATTTCTTCAAGATTCAAATGAGTTTTGTCTTTGAAATGTATTTGTGTGTATTTGTACAATTTGTGCAAACATATTTGTTTGTTTGTTGTCTGAATGTAGAAATAGGAGAGTGCTTTTCCATGTAGAATTAACACCATCATCTCTAACATGGAAATTGATGACCTCTTGATTCACAGATCTCAAAGTTCTCCAACTTCCTAAACACAGGAGAAATTCATCCAAATCATATTCTTTCATCTTTCTTGACATGTATCTTCTATTATTATCATCTAGAATTGCTCTAAAGAAGATTCTAATTTTGCAGTATGATTGTTCCAACTCACATCTTTACACTTAATGATTTATCTCTTCCTGTTCCTTATCAAATTCAGATCCTCAACAAAGTATCATCTTCATAGACCATTAACTACATGGCATAAATTCTTCACATGCCACCAGTTGATTCCTATTAGTCATTTGAACAGTGCCCGTGAAAATAACCTGGAATTTTCATGTCTTTTATTTACTACTATATCTACTGTGTCAATCTTGGAGCAGCCCCATGAGAGAAGTTGCTTAAATTGTCTCTACTCTTCATGCTTCAGACATGAATTTTGCGTTGGAGACTACCTAGTGAGGCATTGAACTCCACCATGTTCCTTTGCTCAAAATGTCTCACTGAGGAGGTTATTGAACACAGAAAGCTACCCCGCCCAAGCTTGCGTATCTTCCTAAGCAAAAGAACATTATGTACACGGTCTGTTCCATGCCTATCCCTCGTATACCTCCTTTTCCACTGATCAATCAACCTTGCCCCATGTATTTCCAATCCTCATTATTCAGCAGTTTCTTTATTATATGTCCCATTATTTGAGGGATTGCTTCATTATTATTTTATAATAAATGTTAAGTATATTGCCTGAGTAATGCACAGTTACCCCATTTTCAGCCTCTGTAGAGGTCAAACTGATAAAACACAGCCCAAGGCCCCCACCGTAAATCACACTGTTAGCACAAAGCATCTGAGATGGCCCAAGCACACACCGTAAATCAAACTGTTCATA